GTGTGTTTTATCTGATCCGGATGGTTACTAATTCCTTTTCTTTATGGCGGTCATTTTTGACCAGGAACACCATGGGTGTTACTAAGTTGACTAAATCATCCAAAATGCAATGAAAGTGGTGATCAGCAATTTTATACGTTCAAATGTCTACTGTAAAGGATATGATGAAGCCTTCATGCAATCAAATGTAAAATAAAAAAGTTATGATTGATTAAAGTCACCAGGCCCAAAATAAATTTCTGACCTACTGCTATATTATGAACCATCCAGAACCTTCAGGTCTTCAGGGACTGGTCAGCTTTCTGTCCCCAGAGTCAGAACTAAACATGGAGAAGTTCAGTTATTATGCTCCAAATATCTGGAACAAACTCCCAGAAACCTGCCGGTCCGCTGCAACTCTGACTACTTTTAAATCCAGGCTGAAGACTTTTCTTTTTGCCGCTGCTTTTAATTGATATATTCATATCTTAAACTGCACTGTAACTTTTATTATCTTTGTTTTTAAATGTCATTTTATAATATGTTTCTTAATGCTCTTAATGTCTTTCATTTTTGTAAAGCACTTTGAATTGCCTTGTGTTGAAATGTGCTATATAAATAAACTTGCCTTGCCTAAATCGGTCAGATTTGACCCGAACACAACAGGAGGGTTAAACCAGTGAAGAAATGTAACTCAGTACTTTTACACATTTCATTTACTTATTATTCAGTATTTGCACTTATTTTATTTTCATCTTTTGCAGACCAGTAGCCTGTTTGACATCTGAGTAAATGTACTCAATTACTGAACCGTAGTACAACGTTGAGGTGCTTGAGTATTAATGCTACTTTACACTACTCAACTATAATGAAGGGACAATAATGCACTTTTAACATATTTTTTTAGTTTCTTTTGGTTACTTTGCAGATTCTGTTATAGAGCAATATTACAAAAATAATTTATAATTATATTTATATCTTCAAATAAAATTGTATTGATCCCTTGGGGAAATTCACAGGCTACTTTGCAGTATATTGTAAGAAATAAATTCCTTCACAAGCTGCAACAATACAGTAAACAAATAATGCATTAATAAGTACAATGCATTGATAAAACCTCAAATATTTTAGAATTTTGTGTAAACAGAGTATTTTTTGTTGTTGTATTTTACTAATATTAAGCATATTTATTAATGTTGATGGGTCAGGCCTGGATCAGGCCTCAATTAGAGGCCTCCAGCTAGTTCAGAACGCAGCTGCACGTCTTCTTACTGGCCATAGAAAGCGTGACCATATCACCCCAATTCTGGCCTCACTGCATTGGCTTCCAGTTCGGTTCAGAATAGATTTTAAACTCCTTTTATTTGTTTTCAAAGCCCTAAATGGGCTGGCTCCTGCCTATATAGCCGAACTCCTCCATCGCTACACCCCAGGCAGAGCCTTAAGGTCGGCTGATCAGCTGCTGTTGATAGTGCCTAAGACCAGGCTTAAAACCCGAGGGCATCGAGCTTTCGCAGCGGCTGGCCCTAGGCTCTGGAATACTTTGCTCCTCCATGTGAGGTCGGCCCGGACCCTGTTTTTTTTTTTTAAATCAACACTTAAAACTCACTTTTTCTCTCTGGCTTTTGTTTAATTATTGATTTATTTAGTTATCCTCAGAATTGATACTATTTTTAATATTATTAAATGTTATTAATATTATTGGGGTTTTATGGGGTTTCAGTTTTTTATGATTAGTAGGTTGGGGGCGGGGAGACCTTAGAGAAGGTTCTGACTAGACTGACTGGTTGCTACGTCTGGTTGCTTGGAGCTGAGTTGGTATAACCCTGAATTAGATTAGAACATTTTAGAAATATGAGGAATAACCTCTTGGTTTTATAAACCGTTTTGTAATTACTTCTTCATCCATTTTAGGATCTCTGCTGGGTTTTCTTTTAAAACCCTAAACCCCCCCTTGGGGTTGGTCCCTCCCCTCTCCCTCTGCGGATCTAAGGTCCGGTAGAGGGGGATGGGGCACAGAGTCGCTTATCCAGGCGGGGGAGTGCATCTGACGAAGAGATAGGTTGTTGTGCTCTCTATCTCTGTTTTCTTATCCTACATTTTCACCCTGGACTAGAGGGAAAGCGTTCTTGGACGCCTTTTCAGCTCCGTTTCTTACTATATTCTTCCTACCTCGTTTACCTTGAACTATTCTAGGAGAGTGTGTTGATGTTGACTCGTTGGGCCTTTCTTCCTGTAGTTGTTTGTTCCCCAGTTCTTTCCTTTAACTGAATCTAGGAGAGGGCATTTAGGCCTCTCTACTTCCTTCTTTTGATTAGTTTCGTTTTTCACCCCCTTCCCCTTGAACTAATTTATACAGGAGAGTGCATTTACGCAGTCACGTTGTGCCTCTCGGCGTATACTTTGACTTTCTGTCTCTTTGGAGAGTGCTAGTACGTTGGATACGTTGGGATTTTTCACTGTTGTCCCTCTTCACTAGTATCCCATGTCCCCTCTTTATAATTTGGGTCTTCATAATTTCCACCCTATTGTAAGGGGAAGCATGATGGTGCCTTTTATTTTCAATTTCTGGCTTTGTGTTTCTTCACCTCTTACTCGTTTTAATATTTAGGAGAGTGCATTTACGTAGTCACGTTCTGCCTCTCTTTCTGGCTATTCTTTTCATACCCTGGTTTCTCTGAGAAGAGAAGAAATTCTATTCTAAAAGGAGCTGACACATAGTGTCTCTTCACTTGTACACTTGAGGGGTCAGAGTTCATATGGTGAGGGATTCCATGAGCGATATGCGCCGGCCTGTGTCTTTACCTTGGACTTCTAATAGAACTGCTCGGGTCTTGATAGATTGAGTGGGGAAGTTCATGAGATCTTTCTAGAGTGTTATCAAGAATAACTTTTATCCAATGACCTTTCCCCTCTCTGTCTGTGTCTGTGTATTCTCTTGTTCCGATTAACCCAGCCAAATCTTTTTTCTTGTTTTGTATCTATATCTACGCCGGGATCCGGAGTCGAGGCTGATCCTCTTGCTGTAGTCCTGTGTCTTGGATCCTCTATCCCGAGTTCTGGATTAAGTCGTGGATTTCGGGTCGTGGCTGAACCTGTCTCTGCGGTCCTGCCTTGGGTCTCGTCATGCTGCTTCCCTGATGGCTTCCACAGGATTGTAGCTGACATCCTCGTGGATTCATCTTCTTATTACAGACACATGCATTTCCTAACATTCGGTCTATATGCTGTAAAATATATTATCTCTTCGATTTACACACAGCATCTATTGCACGTCTGTCCGTCCTGGGAGAGGGATCCCTCCTCTGTTGCTCTCCCTGAGGTTTCTCCCATTTTTTCCCCTTAAACTGTGGGTTTTCTCTGGAAGTTTTTCCTTGTACGATGTGAGGGTCTAAGGACAGAGGGTCTAAGGATAGAGGGTGTCGTTTTTCTCATACTGATATTCTGAACAATCTGTGTTGTTGTATTTTCTGTAAAGTGTCTGATCCAAGGCTTTAGCTAATTTTATTATATGTACAGCACTTTGGCTCGACCAAAAATCGTTTATAAATGTGCTATATAAATAAAACTTGATTTGATTTGATTAATACTTTTGTACTTTTACTTAACTACGACTTTGATTGGTATGCATCTCTATTTAGTTGTTTAGCATCTCTCTGTGGCTGTTTTTCATTTTGGTGGAATTGTTCTGTCCGTTTAGCCAATTTATTTCTTTGTTCTGTGATTTTACGTTTATTTTGAGTAGTTTTGCTCCTAGTTGTCAATTTGCATCTCTGTGATTGATTTGCAATTTTCTTATTTGCTGTTTTTATTTCACTATGGTCATTTTGGGTCTCTGTCCTCATCCAGCTTGTTTTGCATCTATTTTTTTTGTAGTGTGCAATTTTCAGCCATTGATATTTTCTTTTCCATAATATTGTAACTTTGCAATCATGTTTTTAAGTAATTTGCATCTACTTTTTGACATTTTAGGTTTTTTAGTCTTAATTTTACAAATCTTTGTTGTAGGTTTGCATCTACTACATTTTGTATCTTTACTTATTATTTTAGCTTTTTGTGGTTGTTTTGAATCCATTTTAAGTTGTTTTGAGCGTCTCTGTGATTGTAATTGTGCATCTTTTTACATTAACTGTTGGTCTCTTTACAGACATTCCTACTCTTTGTAGTCGTTTTGCAACTATTTTAGAAGTTTCATGTTTTTCATGAGTTCCTTGCTGTGTTCGGAATATTCTCCCACTTCTTAAACTAAACAGTTTCTAAAGCCTTGGATCAGCTGAAAATGCATCGTTTCTTTTTTTTTTCACAGATAAATATGATGAGCTAATAAAATACGATGCAATTTCATATATTAAACTTCCCAACAGTGTATTAAGGAGAAGATCCATATACTGTATTGCAGTATAAAGCGACAGGGAACCTTTTACTGCCCGGGAACCCTACTTCACACAGGTTGGTGAGACACGTGCTGGTGCACATGAGACCCCCCCAGCAGCTGGATAAACAGCTCACCTGACCCCCCCCCTCCATGTGCACTACACCTGCCCTCCTGCTCTGATGTGTGTGGAGCTGCAGCTCTGTGAAGGTCTGCTGTGTTGTGAGCGTGGGACGGCAAGCTACATGTGACCGAGAGAAACCACTTCAGTGTCCCTGTAGGAGGAGAGCATGGGTAAAAATACACAGTGGATTCATTATTATGAAAACAAGCTCTGAGAGGATGGAAGTGTAGTTGAGCTGCTGCTGTTCTGTGTCATTCTGAATGTTTACAGATCAGGATTTAGCCGCAGGAGAGCCGATGGTGCTGGATCCCCATTAGGTTGGAAAGAGGTGGATGGAAGGAGACGAGTATTCCTTAAATCCACACACTTTTCATTAAAACAAAATTAGATCACACTATTTTATGTTCTATTTGATCATTTCACATGCCCACACTGAAGATCTTTTAATCAAATTACCAAAAAAAGTATTTGATATAGAAGCTGGAGAGGATGGACATAAAAGACTTTCAAAACTGAATTCATTTCCAACTTTTTAAAACAGATTTATTTAATCATTTAAAAGCATAAATGGGTTTTTCTTTTTTCAAATATTTTACATTCGTTGAAATTCTGACTGCAAAATATACATCAAATGCTTTTATACGGTCATGGTCATACTTTTGAGTTAGTGGCTTTAGAGGCAGGGCTATCAATGTCACTTTCTTTTGTTTCATCTGAATGTAGCTCTAATAGAATTTAAAGTTACATAAATGAAATTCACAGTTAGGTAAAGGGACCTTCAGTAAAAAGAGGTAATCTGAACAGTGAATTATCAAATATATCTGTGGCATTGCTTCCGTTATGACTATGAACTCATTCCAGGTAATATTGTCTGAAACTGTGACTATCTTGACAGAAGGGCACGAGACTTGAACTAAGGAAACCACAGCTTCTTGTGGTGAAAGCGACCCCTTTGGAAGTTACTGCTGTGGTTAGCCACGAGAGAGAAAGCTGACCCTACTATTTATGATCCCATTTGTTCAGTGTTGATAGCCTTCCAATTTATTCATTACTGATGTAACCTATAGAGTACTTCATTCTTTTAACTGAACATGCAAAATTAGATTATAGGAAGGCTTATATTTCCAATAATACATTCAATTAATATTTTAAGTTGAGCTCTTTCCTTTCAGTTATTTATTTGAAATGTTCTAGGAAACAGAAAATTTCTAAAACCGATACCACAGGTTTGAATATAGTTTGTATTATATCTCAGATGGACGGGTGCCTTTAACTTTAAACATCAAATTAAACAAAGGGTACCATTTCAGATTTTTTTTATTTGATTTGAGGGTTTTCAACAACTCACTTTTAGGCAAAGAAAAAGGATAGTAATTTAGTAATATTACATGTTTTAGTTTTACAGAAAAGAAAGAACATGTTGGACAGGACCTAAGTAATGAACTATGTGTACACGTTGTGTTACAAAAATTGGGCTTAACTGTGGCAATGAGGGAGCGGGTAAAGGGTACGGGAATATCACATCGATACATATACTCATCCTGCTGTTTTACAAAGACCCCACCTCGTTCCCTCCCACCCATACAATACCAACAATGATAACAGAAATGATACTTGGAGTAAAAAACAGCAAATAATCAATATATAATAAAATATAATACGAATTGTTCAGTACACTCCGGTTATTTCTGTTGTCCTTTTTCGAATCCTGAACACATGAAAAGTTGGTTTTCTGTCCACGCCTCTTTACAAACATGACAAAAGTAGTGTACATTAAAAACAAGGTCACCAATACTTTTCCTTTTTCAGTCACTTTAGCACAGGGGTGTCAAACTCAAGGCCCGGGGGCCAAATCCGGCCCGCGACTTCATTTTACGCAAGAGCTTTCAAAGAATATAATATGTTTATTATACGGTTACTTGCCACTTTACAGAAGCACATTGCCAATAAACAACATGTCCCACAATGCATCTCATTTTGTGACATGCGCACTGAAGAGACTTGCAATTATTTGCCCTGGACTTTCGCCTTCAGACGTAGTTAATTATGAAGTTATTACCCTATCCGATAATAATCAAATGCAGAGGCATTAATGTCATATAATACATTATTTTATATATTTATATCGTCTTAAAGTTACAACCGGCCCTTTGAGTGCAACCATAATGCTAATGTGGCCCGCGATGAAATTGAGTTTGACACCCTTTAGCACATCAAACTGCCTTTTCGTGACAGATTAGACCCTTTACTTTTCTTTCTTAAAAGATTAATTTAGCTTAAAGGGCAGATCTCAGTATAAAAAGTGGGAGACTCTCCACTAGGGGGGGGGGACACACACAAATAAACATACAGAGCAAGAGACCCAGACTATACGGATTAACTGTGAATAATGTGAAAACAACTTGAAAAAATAAACAGGTACTAAAAAGGTACCTCACTTCTACAATCCGCATCCAATCCATATTATGCACAAACACTGCTAATAGGAGGAATAAAATAAAACATGATGATGAAACTGGATTATGCGTTTTTTCAAACAGGTGCTACTAAACTGTGTGTAGAGTTCCTCCACCCTGCAGAAGGGTGATGAGGGTGATTTAGGGCCTTTTGAAGTCCACTCATTTCCAACCCCCTCTGCTGCAGTGAGTCAGGATTGTATACAGATTTATCAGGGTGCATTGTGGGGGTATTACGGTAGTTACACTAAACCTTCCCCACTTGTTCTGTTAAAAAAACGTGCTAGCTCTTGCTTGCTTCTTGGGTTATCTAAAAAAAATAAAACATCAAAACAATCTAGTCTAGAAAACAGTCTTTTTTTTTTTTTTGTCTACTGGCTGTACTCAGTCAGTACTGTTGATCTCTCGGGCTGGACCAGAACCGGCAGCGCTAGCGGGGCCGGCGAATGGTTGCTTTCTGAAGGCGGGGACTTCATCTTCATCAGTTCCCAGCCCCTGCTGATGGGCGGCCCCCGGCAGCAGAAGTCGTGGCGGGCCAGGAGCAGCGAGTTCCAGAAGTGGTGTCGACATTTGCAGCATTGGAACGCGGCTTGCTTCAGATGCTTGCCCCGGTGTTTCAAGGCTTTGTGTAGTGAGCTGCTGCGCCTGCCACAAACCTGGCAGCGCAGGCGGGCGCTGCGGCCTGAGGTCCTCGGCGGATGCCTGACGGCGCGATGGACCAGCAGAGCACCCGGCAGGGCGTAGGTGGCGCTGGGGCAGATTGGGCAGGGGAAGCGCTTAATGGGGATTTCCATGGAGGAGAGGCCGGTGACTGTGACGGCGCCTCCGCTCCACGACTTTGCCTTCACCACGCAGCCCTTTACCCTCAGCTGCGCCAGGATCTTTTTCTTCTTGAGCGCCTCCTGCAGTCTGCCCCTCTTTTTCCTTAGAAGCATCAGCTTCTTGCGGGTGTCGTTACTCAGAGGAACACCCACCAGCTTTCCGTCTCTCATTATGCTGTGGATCAGAACTTGCGGTTTTTTTGTTTTTTGTTTTTTTGTTTGACCAAGCCGCTTTTGGATGTTTTTCGAGCGGTAGTGAAAAGGGTGTTGTTGTTGTTGCTGCTGCTGCTGCCCAGGAGCCCCTTGTTGCATGTGTGAAGACCCGGCGTAGTTAGAACCTGACCCTGAGTCGTAGAAGACCGGGGCGTATCCCGAGGGTTGGGACTGGTTGACCCGTTGGCCGTTGCGGTCGATGCCGTGCTGAGACAGCTTGTGGCGCACTAAGCTGTTGGAGTAGGCGAAGGCTTTACCGCACACTTCACATCGAAAGGACTTCTCCAGCCCGACCCCTCCCCCGTGAACAGTCTGTTGATGTGCCGTCAGGTGGAAGTAGTGGCGGAATGATTTCCAGCACACTGTACAGGTGTAAAGCCTCTGAGAGGGGGTGCCAGATGTGGGAGACTTTTCTCCTTGGGAGCAGGATGAGAAGTAGTCAGAGTTTCCTGAGGGGCCGACCTGACTGATGGCGGCGGCTGCAGCAGCAGCAGCAGCAGCGGCAGCAGCACCTTTGACCCGCCTCCCCTGGCTGTCGATCTCGCCTTTCCTGTGCAGCTTCCCGTGTCTCACCAGGCTCTGTGCATAGGCAAACATCTTCCCGCACAGATTGCATTTGTAGTTCTTTTGACCCGAGTGCACGGTCAGATGCTTGGTGAGGTGGAAAGGCTCGCGGAACATTTTGCCGCACACGTCGCAGGCGTGAGGTTTCTCGCCCGTGTGAACGCGGGTGTGGCGCCGCAGCGTCTCCGCCCTCCTGAAGCGTTTGCAACAGACCTGGCAGCTGTACGGCCGCTCTGACCCATCTCCTGGAGGGGCGGGGCTTCTTCTCCTCCTGACGATGTTGTTTGGGTCTCTCTTCTCTCGGGGCTTTCTTGGCCTCCGGGGCTTTGTGTGGGGCTGGCTAGGGTGGGTCAAAGGCAATGTGGCACCGTTGAGGCTGGACGTAGAAGACGGTCCGCTGAGGTTACCAAACCCCAACCCCCCCAGGAGGCCTCCAATGATATCCCTCCTCTCTCCGTCCCGACCTTCAGCGTTTAAATCACAGGAAGCAGCAGCTGCAGCAGCGATGGCCGACATCGCACTGCTGGTGACTTCATCCTCCGAATCATCCAATAGGGAGGAGAGGGGGAGGTGTGGCTGCGGCTGTTGCTGCTGCGGTGGCTGTTGGTGGTGGTGGTGCTGCTGCTGCTGCTGTGGCTGTGGGTGGGGGTGCAGAGTTGGGGCTAATGGGGCCTTACGCAAAGTTTGGTTGTTCATTTCACTGGCTAGACTCTCTGGGGAGTACAGGGACGCTGGTTGTGATCGCCTGTAATCGTCCACCCCGCTATAGGGCAAGTGATTCTGGTAGCGGTTTCTGGAAAAATCTGTTGCATACTTGTCATTGGCCATTGCTGCCCCATCGTTTGGGAGTCCCACCCTGTTTCCACTGCTTCCGATTTTACTGCTGCTGCTCGGGTTGGATGATACGCTCCCTTCGCTGCTGGCGCGGTTTTTTGAACTCCGAGGAGGTTTGCCACAGGCCCCTGAAGCAGCGTGGTTGAGAAGAGAGGTGCTCTCCCGGAAGCAGCGCCCGCAGGCCGGGCAGCGGAAAGGCTTATCGTCGTGAATCTTCTCGTGTCTCGTAAGAGACTCTCGCCGGTTGAAAGACTTTTGGCAGATGTTGCAGGCAAAAGGCCGGTTTTCTGAGTGGGTGACGCTATGTTGGATGAGGTGACCCCTCTTTTTAAATTTCTTTCCACACTGACCACAGCAGAATACCCTTTCTGGGCTTGGGGAGTTACAGTCAGACTTCCTGCTTTGGCTTTCTGGTGTCAAGCCGTGGCTGCGGAGATGCCTTCGCAGGCTGGAGAGGTGGGTGAAGGTTTTACCACATTCACCACAGTGGTAGAGGGGTTCTGGCTCCGGCTGGCCGGATGAACTGTTACTGTCCTGGGATTTGGACAACTGTTGGTTACCGTTGGCTACAAGCACAGAGGTGGAATTAGAAGGAGGGGCCGAGGATGAGGAGGAGACGCTGGAGGATGACTGCTGTCGCTGTGAGGATGATGAGTGGTGAGAGGAATGCTGTGGCTCGCTTCCGATGTCACTTATCCCAACACCCCCAGATTCTCCTCCCACGTGGTCTGCTGAGGAGCTCTGACTGTGCCCACTCGAGCTGCTGTGGCAGTTACTGACACTGCTGCTGTGAGTTGTCTGGATGCTAGTCTCTGATTTCCTCTGGGGGAGGTAGCCCGCCATTGCTTTCTTTCTCCTGCTTCCTCCGCTTGAAGCAGATGAAGACGAGCTGTCTCCTGTCTTTGCATCGTCTTTAGAGAGGGACAGGTGCAGGGGCAGGGGGAGGGAAAGGCCAGCCTCTTGCTGCATTAGCGATGCTATCTGGTTAGAGGAGAGGACTGGAATGCCTTGGAAATCAAAGCCACCCAGAGGGGCAGGCTGGGGCGCCGGGTGGAGAGGGTGAGGGTGGTGAGTGTGGCTGTGGGGATGAGATAAGGCGTGAGAGCTCAGCTGCTGTTGCTGCTGCTGTGGAGCTGAGTGGCCGTGGCTGTGTGCGGAGTGGAGGGAAGGGGGAGGAGCCAGGCCAGAGTTGGAGTCGATGGGCCCTTGGCTGAGACCCAAACCCAAGTGGTTGTGAGTGCCTTGCTGCACGAGGAACTGCTCCAGGCTGCTGTTGGTGGGGACGCCAGAAAGGAAGTACTGGTTGGCAGCCAGCATGCAGCTGAACTGCTGGTGGAGGCTGCGGGGGTCGGACTGGCCCACTAAGGGGACCGCAGTGCTGCCGGAGGGGTTGTTGGCTGAGGAGGTGGAGGAAGAGGGCGAGGAAGTGGGGAGACCAGCAGAGGGCTGGGGGACAGAGAGGCCTGGATGCAGCGGTGGAGGCGGGGGTGCGGGAGTGACAATCCCACCGCTGCTGCCGCTACCAAAGTCAAAGCGTCCCATCCCAGAGTGGAGCTGCTCCTGAGCCAGCGCAGCCTCGGCCGGGTGGAATGGCCGCAGGAACTGGGGGTATCCCGAGCTCCCGCTCCCACTGCTCATTTTACTGGACTTTCTGGAGCTGTGAGAGGAAGACGACTGGCTCTGATGAGAGATTGATGAGGGGGGGGCGCTCATTTTGGCAAATAACGAGGAGGAGTCTGCGAAGGCATTACTCCGAGAACTCTGGAGGGGTCCTAGGCCCAGGCCGGAGAGCAGGCTTCCTGAGCCGTCAACGGAGGGCTGGTGCTGCTGCTGGAGCTGCTGCTGGTGCTGCAGCTGGACCTGCTGCTGGTGGCTTAGCTGCCGCTCTAATCCCAGGCCTTTAAACTGGTGGGCCTGGTGTCCGCTCAGCATCTCTAAAATGTCCATGGGGTACTTGCTGAATTGGAACATCTTCCAATCCGTGAGGTGCAAAGTGCTGCTTGCACTAAGCCTTTAATGCTAGAAACAGCTGGGACAAGTTGGGATATTCAGAGGTAGTCCTGACCCCAAACTTCCAACAAACCGCTATAATCCAACGAAAGCCGATTTTTTTTGTATCACTATTAGTTTTTCATTCAAGCGGGAAGCCTGCAAGTGCTTCTGGGAGATTTAATAAAAAAGGGTCATAAATATGCATTAAGCTAAATCATACTAAAAACAGAGTCTGTAGTGTTTCTTCAAAGTGTTCCATAATATTTAGAAAATCAGGTCAGCAGTTACATGGAAAGGAGTGTGCTATTTCAGCAGAGGGAGAACCATTGGTTGTTGCCTTCTGTCCCCTCATGGAGTTCTTGAGGCAACCTAAAGAATGCGAGGGGGACAAGAAACAATAATGTCAGAGATTTAGTGACTTGATACCGAGATAACAAAACACTTTTGGCACAGAGAGTTCAACAACACTATGGTTTTTCTTCCACTCAGAGCCTAAACAACCTGAGTGCTGAATGTCTCAAAGGGAACCAAAACAAACAACTAAAATGTGTCTTTAGGGTGATTTACTAAATCTGTCCAGGCACTACAGATTGGCTAACTCTGGCACATTACAGAAATGTTGATTAATGTGCACTGTTAAATATATGAATAAATATATAAAGATTAACATTTATTTATTTGCCTCAGTAATCTTTATTTTACCTTAAAATTACATTTGAACAGTTCATTTATTGAGCCTGCTGAGGAATTATTGAGGATGTATTATTCATTATTGAAAAATGAAAACGTGTTTTTTCTTCAAAGGTGCTTAGTGTAATGCATTTATTTCTTCTGAATCTTAATTTCCCACTAAAGATAAAGTCTAATCAAAAATATTTCTCTAAAAAAAATCTAATTATATCGACAATATCCCGCTCAAACTCAGGGGACAGTTAGGTCACTGCTTATTTGTTCAGAATGAGAGGCCACAACAGTGCAATTATCTTTCTGTAGTAATCTTAGAAAGCATACTGCAATATGTATTGTTTGTACAATTTGGTCAAATGCTAATTGGCTGGCTTTCTAATATCAACCTGCTGTTGTTAACCTATATAACCTGTTGCAACAAGACTGTATTTTTATTTTAAAATAGTTAAAGAACTAAGGATATCACCTTGCACAATGTGTCTTTCTGTCTTTGTTTTAATGTGAAAGGAGTTTTAATCAAATGATTGTTTAAAAATGGCATTTTAGAGACAAAGCAGACAAATAAAATAAGAAATGATCTGAAAAATGTATTATGACATATTCGTTATATCCCTTTAAAGTGCTGAAGTGTAGGATTTGACTGATTTATTTGTAAATCTTCGCACGGTATACACTATTGAGAGCAGTAGATAGAGCCTAGAGAGGGAAATGAAATGAGAGTGTGGCTCAAAATGCCACATGAATCCTGTCCAGCTCCTGCTGGATAACATGGCTGCCAGCTATGACATCTGCTTTACAATTAGAAAAATATGCTTCTTTGTTCCGCTGAAATCCACAACTTGCTGCTTTGTCTTCTGACCAAAACATTAGCCTAGAACAGAAAGCATTTCATCCGCACTTTGCACTTGATTCTGACCTCCTTCTGGCTCGACATGAATGACTCTCCCCTGAGACAGAAACCAGAGAAGCCAAACATCCTTATTGTACCGTCACATCTGCGTACAGTCTGAAGCTTGGCAGAGTGACAGGAAATTCATATACAGCAGCAATATATCAAAATAAATATCTGAAAACCAGAAATAATGCAGATTTCTTTCTGAAGAATATGGAAACCTGCTGTTACTTAAAGCAATGTGTGGCTCTATGTGTGAAATGTATTCAAAAAGCTAAATGCTAATGCTTCAATGTTGATATTTGTTTGAAAGATGATGAACACAAGGCCAAACAACAGCGATATTAATAAGAAAGATGCTCCTGTTATATATCCAGTTCTAAGAAGTTTATTTTCCTTCTGATCATGAGATAATTGTATGAATCAGATTCTCAAGGAAGAAGGAAAGCATCTGGACCAGACAGTAGGGCTTGAGCTAAGAAACGTTCTTTACAAAACAAACACTTGTCCAACTTCAACTAATTGGGAAATGGGCTCTGGTTTCGGACAGAGGGTGAAAAGAGGTGCTGCAGCACAGGCAGATTGAGAAAGATTAAGACCTTTTTGAACATTAAAGCATGAAGACATGTCACATAGAGGAACACAATACAATTATGAAAAAAAAAAAATGGCCCCTTTAAAATCCCATAATGTTGTGGCATTGTGCAGTAACCATGACAATATATTGAGCTATAAGATAAGAAACGTCACTTTATTTAGATTTATGATACATTTATTTTAATCTAAGTAAGAAACATAAGGCAATGGGCAGTCAAACACGCCATCCCCACCACAGAGTTTCAATCTAGATCTCTATCGGGGAACTAGTTCACACATGTTGCGCCAGGTGCTCTTTCAAACAGACAAAAAGGTAATAATCTGGGCATCACATGCTACTGATTGTTTGCCTTTAAAAACACTTCACAAACTCTCAGCGAGCACCCACCCACGATGTACGAGGGATTTCATTCAACAGGTTGACCTTGGATGTGCTCAATGTGAAAACCCTTTGGAAACATTTAGTTGTTGATTGATGCATTTCATCCTAACGGTATGCCATCCATTGCAATGGCTATTTTAAGTCTGTTTGCTGCACTTTGGTTGGTGGGTCAGAGGTGGAAACAAATATATCCAATGTGAAAAATCCTAAGAGAACAGTATAAGCACTCTGTTCAAAACAGACTAAATGCACTCTAAAGTGAACATTTGTGTTAAATTATCTCAGAAAAACATAAGAAACTGCAACATTTGCAACAGGGTGTTTAGCACATAATGCTTTCTACATTTGATATACATAAGGTTCGACATGGCTGAATGTGACCCTGGGCTCAAATCCCCTTAAGAGTGAGCACTCTGCCTCCTGTTACATCACAGGAGCAACAAAAAACGTTCCACCTGAAGGACTCTACCAGAAACATTATTTAAAAAAAATAGAAGTAGAAGTACCGAGTATAAATAAAGTGCCAAGATTATATTTAAGTTAGTTTTAAATCTGATGTGAGGGATGTTGTACACCTGTACATACATATTGATTTTTCCAACATAAAACATTAAGAGGGAAGTAATTTATTAATTATTACCTCATTGAGTTTGTTCCATGATATCAATATAAGATAAAAATGTAGGCTAAAAATGCAATAGCAAAAGTAGTGTATTACTGGGACAATATTATCTTTATAATAAAAAGGGCAAACTATAATTAATATCTACAGTATGAGTGGGTTTATCTGTTGCACATAATTACATTTTCTTCATACTACTTACAATCCCATGGTAATGTGTACATTATTACGCCAGTATGCTATTGAGATATACACAGTAGAATACATAAGTGAACATCCTGTTTTAAGCCGTGTCTAAACCCAAACAAACAGGTAGTATGTGCTGCTGATTCTGCATCAGTGTTTGAAATAAGCATGCTATTACTGCTCAGTATATGCGAGCTGATGCTCCTTTAAGCCCATATTTTGTCATAGGTACTATGAGTTACTTGCGGGGAAAGCACACCGGACAAACTAAAGCTAACATTTAGTTTGAACATTTGGAGTTGTGTGATTTCATGTTGTGTCTATTTTATCGGCTAATCCACAGGTCTGGGGCTCCCTGCTGGACCGCGGCTTTTAGGGGAGACACGGTCGCTTTCTCCGCCGACAAGCGGTGTCTTGAGGCCGACAGCCTGAAACACAGGCACCGATGAAAGAGCAGGTTAGATGGAAAGACATGACTGTTGACACTCATCCACCAGAAACTACTAGCATCCATTAATCACTCCACTAGCTAACGGTAACCAACGCTGCACTGAAGACCATGATATAATGTATAACACATTTATAACATTAGCACATAGGTGTTTTTTATTGAGCTACACTGTGAGTAAAAGCGTTGAACTACAGATACATATAACTAAACTGACATAAAGGAGGTATCGCGTTTCAATAGCTTTGCGCTAGCACTGCTAGCAGACTAGCTGTGCGCTTAGCTTGGCAGCTAGCAAATTAGCCAACATCCCGCTGCTGGAAACAGCTTTTGTTTTTGTTTTCTTACCTTGTAGCATACGATGGCTAGGTGCAAAAACACCTCAGAAACATGGGAGTAAAATTGTGAAAACACCAAGCGAGGAGTGCGCCGTAAGAGCGGTGTCCCTACTGCCAGTCAGCGGGGCCTTTTTCTTCATCCATGGAAAAACACTGTGAAAGGCCTGGCTCTCCATCGGCCCGGGAGGGCTGCTTTTCATTCGCTAACAAAAACTATTTCCGCTGGCCTGGCCCGATATGTCCATTGTTCGCCGCCTCAGTCCTACAGCTCCCCCGGTTTACTGCTCGTCCTCTCCCAAACGGCGCCTTTGTTTTGTTTGCGTCGTATTTTCCCGTCTTTTCTCCTCGGTTGGCTGTTTTCCGCCCCGTGTCAGATTTAGGTGTCCCCCCCTATGGACGACGGCTCCTCCAATGCTGCTAGCTTTAAAATGGTAGTTTCCTGTCTGCATAATGGTTCCGGGTAGAGCCAGGCACAGGTTGCTCTGTCCGGCCGAGACCACTCTGCTGCTGCCTGCTCACATCCACCTCTGCCCTTCAGTTAGCAAAATATGGGTCCAATCCAGCATGATGCTCGTGAATAAATAAAGCGTGTGTACGCTATGTCCGTGTGTGTGCGCGTACGTGCGTGTGAATGCATGTATTGAGTCCAATACAAATATATCCCAATGAATTCTGATACTATGTCATTAGGCTCCTATGTGAAGTGTGTGTTTGTGTGTGTGTTTTCACACTAAGTGTGTGTGAAATGATAATGAGTCAATTAAAGATATCATTACGGCGCGTGCTGCATAACACCACTGTGTGTGTGTGTGTGCGTGTGCGTGTGCGTGTGTGTGTGTGTCATGCATGTGCTGCTGGGCCTATCGTGCCTGATTTGCATTCAATTAAATGTATCATTATAGTACAGTATTTCTGCGCTGCAGTGTGGGTGTGTAAGGATCTGTGCCTGGGCTGTTTAATGTGTGGTAAAATAGTGAAAACAAAATACATTTCCGTTTTGGCTGCACTTCTGAATGTGTGTACCTCCATGTTTTTTTGCAAATGCAGGTGTACAGAGTAATACACCTGTTGATTTTATTTATAATCCATGTAGGGAGAGTAATAATAAGTAATAATGTTTTATCAGTGTTTTATTTGATCCATAAAACACTGCTTAAACCAGGTCTAAGTAAGGTTCAATGGCACGGTTAAAAGCCATACAAGTATTGATTGATTAATTGGATTTTTTTGTGTGAATGTAAGTTGGACTTTGTTATTCTCAACCTATCCCAAGTACATTAACAATCAATACAATCATACAATACATATTGACATTCATATCATAAATATCTAAACTAATTATAAAGTATTTTGATGTTGTGAGTCGACAGCAGTGAATCTGAGCCCACCTTAATAATGTTTGTCTTCTGTAATTTCCTCCTTTCCTTAAGTTAACAAACCTAATGAGTTTAATAATTTGTGCCTAATTGGGGGGAGTGGTCGGTGGAGATGTGTTTTCCCCTGTGCAGCCTCAAATTGCTCCCTTGGGTCTAAACACAGGGAGGCTGAGCTGATTTCAGAAACACAATAGTTGGTATCACACACACTCATGCTTCCTTATTTTCACACTCAGATTCCCAAAAAACCACCGCTTGATTTTATTGTTTGATATTTTGAACATCAATGCTTTCTTTTTATTTTATGTTACTTTGTGTCCAGACATGATTTAAAACCTTCAGCTACTTTGTTCAATAACATTTAAATAAACTGTGAATTAAAGTCTACATTTCCCAATCATTTTGGTTTCTGTACCCAAGTGTTGTCCCAACACTATAATTAAATTAAAATAGAAAAATAAAATAAATTAGACTTATACAGTGAGGTATGATTTTCTGTAACAATAAATATACAAACAAATATTTATACAAATAATAGATAACAGCAGCTTTGCAAAACATGCTGTTACACTCTGAAATAGTGCTTTTATTATGTATTAAACAATTGATGATTCTCTCTAAAATGTCAAAAATAGCCTTAAAATACTTTGTATTACCTTTAAAACCTCCAAATGTGTGCCTGAAAGCTAAAGAGGCAAATTGCAGCAAATATAACAGAAAACAAGGTTTAGTGGGATATTTTTTTATTGTTATTATCAATTAAACAGTATGGTTCCTATAAACTCAAGAATTGATCACTGTTAACAAAAGGGTTGCACATCTGTGAGACCTTTGTTTGGATATTCTTGGAAATAGACATATAAGGGTATGTAATAAATAAATGTATCATACAATTTGAGGTATGCAGAGTAGCTTTGAGAATACAAATATGCCCATGCCTCCCCCTCCCAGTGGTGAACACACTCACACACAACTGCGCATACACACACACACATACACACACACACACACACACAGGCACACGGTTTAATCATCAGGGGAGCAATTAACTAAACATGGATAACAACATCTGAATCAGAAGGTATGAGGATGAGACATTAAAAATACAACTGAATGTCACGTGTCATTTACATTTCCCCCCCATTTTTTGCCTCTCTTTAAAAGTTAATGAGATGTTTACGTTGTAAAAACCACAGGGCCTTTCCTGTCAGCCAAACGGAATACATTCTCCCCCACGACCCACTTTATCAACAACTCTAACTCGCTCCTAATACTGTATTTCCAGCTCTTGTACCCCGAAAGTTCTGTTAAAATTAGCACAAATGAGCAGCTTGTTCATGGGAAACAAATCACTTTTTGCAGATAAATATTTAGCAGCGACACAAATTCATCAGCCGAGTGACGGCCGTTTCACTTCTAATCAAATACCAAAAACTTGACACAATATAGGCCTTCGATAATTTACAAACATTTTAAAAGTCCTCGCTTTGGTGAACGTAGCTCGACAAGAAAGAAGCTGTGATTGATCAATGTCCCTTTTTTTCTTCCTTTTAGCTAAATGACGACAGGCCTTTTTTCAAATTTCAAGTTGATATGAACACGTAAACTCGGGTCTTTAAATCGTCCTCGTGAGCTGAAGACACGACCCGAACGTTTGGTCAAAAATGAGGTTCTGCATTCCTAAGAAGAAGAAGACACTGAGAGAGTTACACACACGGGCACACAAATGAAAACAGACGCATGTACATTTACACACATACACGCCGTGACATCATAAGTCAGCACTATGACATAAACACTGGCTTTTGACATCGTCATGCGGTTCGTCTTTTCTCTTTTTGATTGCATCAGCTCTTTTTGTTCTGGATAATACGAATGTTGTTTTTTTTTCTTCTTAATTCCACTAAGAAAGTTTGAATATTGAAAATCCAGGATTACACATTGAAATTCACAGAAAAAAAAATAAATTCAAAGAAATCATGATAAGAGCGTTCGTCGTCTGATCAAGGGGGAATCCTTACATGTATGATCATAAACCATCAACATGAGCACGTGACGTGTGTCGTAGGAAAATACTTAAAAATGGCTGGCAAGAAGCGTCGCTCAGTAATCAATCATGTCTGTCTTTATCGAGGGGGAAGCTGAAAACCTTAGACAAGGCCTCATGAGTCCCTTAAAACCCGTAAAGGGGAGATCCAGCCTGGAAGGCAAGAAGGTCCGTCTCACAGCCAGATCAAAATAAAAGTGCAAAATATGACATCATGGCCAACATGTCCTCCCGCGACAGAAAAATGTAATCATGGTCGTGTGTTTTTTACATCGAGTTCATTTGTTTTACAGAAATACCTTGCATGTTTATATATTTTCTTTCTACACAGGAACAAAAAATAATGTGCACAAGCATGCCTGCCGACACGGACAAAATGGAAATGAGAAGCAGACACTGTAAAGAGCACAGACACAAAGATAATTCGGTATAGCCCTTGGTGTGAAGTGTCCATTGTCCCGCTCCGAAACCCATCTGCCCCCCCCCTTCCTTTCATACGAGGAGAGCAGCTCAACTTGCAGGTGACATGTGGTGATCGAAGCCGGTCAGTGGCACAAAGAAACCCTTGAAACTCACAATGAGACGTTTTTAAACAGTGTAAGAGGGTCCGCCACAGTCTGCATGAGGATAGTCAATCTTTGAGAGCGGTCTTATTCCAAAACCGTTTTTTTTTTCATTTAAACTAATCGTTACGCAAAGGGTCACAGAACAATGTTTATTTGATGATATACACCCACTAGAATTCACTGTACAAAGTTAAGCTAAAACCATACTGCAGAGTGGATTTTACTTTGAAGGCCCGGCCATTCTATAAAGTGGTGCAGTAGCAATGTTAATCTGCATGTCTTTGTTAAAAAAACGTGGTGACATAGTGAACACTCGCAGGCCTAGTTGGTGAACTACAGTAGATAACGGGCTAACAAGCAGGGAGAACTAGAGCTAGCTTCCTTTTTTTCTGAGCTGGGTCAATTCAGTCAATTATTTGATTGAAGAGGGTAAAAAAAGGTTTCTGATATCGCCAGGTTTTTGCTAACGGCCAGCTTGTTAGCTCGGCCACAAACAGGACAATAAGACAATTATGTTAATTTGAGCAATTTCACCAAAATCATTTAATTTTGCCAATATATTTTGCTGTTTAAATGCTGCTGTGACCGGGCCTTGAATTAGTGTAGGTCTTTATTTTTTTTTAACCCAAATGATTGGATTTTATGTAGGTTAAATAGAGCCATAAAGGCAGTCTAACGGTTCTTGGTTACATTTTTGTTGCAGAGAATGTTTTCCTTTAATGACAGTCCAATCACAACTAGGGAAGAAAGTTCACATAACCAGCCGAAGGGTTATAAACTGGCCTGCTAAAGGATTGACAAAACCAAGTATACACAAAGTCTTACATGGCTCAGTAACGTTAGTACTATTAATATCATCAGGTTCATTTCATACAAAAGCAACTTGTTTGGTTTTTAAATACTTTTCATAAATACAAAGGACAAGCAACCCGTCTGTCTCCGGCTCAGCGCTCTCCATCATCCGCGGTGGATTCAAAGACAGATGAATCTGTCGGAGCTCGAGGACTCAGAGGACAGTGCAATAAAACTCAAGGACAATTCAACAAATTTCACTCGGCTGGTATCCTTCAATAAAAGTCACAGCGAACACCCGGCAGCCTTTGCGCTGCATTCAGGTGATATTTTTTGCTCTTTTTAGTCGACATTTCTGTCTTCCCTTTTCAAAAGAATGGCTGAATATTCTCTTTTTCAACACACAAGGTGACGAGGGTGAGATAATCAATTGGCTAAACTCAGTGTGAGATTAGTGATGTCATCCACCACTTTTTGTTTTATGAAGGGAAAGGGGGGGGGGGCTATTTGTTCAGCCCTGTGAGGCAGCCAGCTGAGATCAAACCTCTTTCTTCCTGCTCATCTCTCCACTAAAAGCCTCTTCAGCTTCGCCTCTCTACTCTCATCTTCCTCTCTCTGCTCCTCCCTCTTCCTCTCACACTGTCACCTCGTTCTTACTCCCAGTCCGCAGTCCCTGCACTCCTCCGCCTCCGGGGATGTAGTGCAGCTGCTCGATGGTGTTCTGCCTCTTGTTGGCAAAGGCCATCCGCCGGGAGTTGGGGTGGCCACTTCCGCCCCCGCCGTGGGGGTCCCAGCC